GTCATACAAGTGTGGGACACGTTATCGCTGTGTGCGTCATCGTACGTCTGGATGTCTGCTCGCCAGGATTGGGAGGTGCGGCCGTACAACTCCGTGTGCAGCGACCGTACAAACAGTGACCAATCATTAACCTCTGTTAAACCTAATCCCCCAACCTGATCATGTTTAGGCCCCCCTACGTGTACACTTTATCCGCAATACCCGTACTGAATAAACGTGCTCCGTGCTACACGTCTGTTTCCTTTATAGCTGGGCTATAGCTTAGCTGGTTCTGGGAGTCTAGCCAGATGTAGGAGAATCTGCCATAGAGATTTATGAGTCAGTCAGGATTTACTAAGGCAGCAATCCGCTACACAAGGAACCAACTGGAAAAGAATGACAAAATTGGAAAAAATAGTTAATAATTGTCGTTTCGTTGACTTTACCTCAAATTGATGGAATTTGAAAGCCGTGTTTCGTATTATTCAGTTCGCAACATTGATAGGATTTTTTAAAGCGTCTGATTATTATTTGAAGTCTTCAAAGTACGCTCCAATCCAAAAGGACAATTTAGAGCAACTTTACCTTCCAGAAAAAGTTTATCCCAACTTCAAAGACTGAATTCCTTAAAGTTTTAAAACTTGAGTTCTAATGGTTGTGCCTGCTTATCTAATTGACATAATGATCACTTAACGATTCTTGTTTTAATTTTTTATTTACTTGTTTGACTAGCAGACAGATGAATGCACGGCAGACATTATATCTGACCTGAATATTCTTGTTCAATCGCCTCCGTGCAAATTGATGTTGCACTGAATTGAATCGTTCTGTGTTCGATGGCAATAGCAGATGAATTTCAAGCCTGTACTCTCAGAGAGACGGAATTGGCAAAAATACTAGAAAAAATTTGTAGAGCCTGCTGATCAGCTTCCTATCATTTTTTTCAACAATAGGAAAAATACCTTAAGAATAAATTTGTTTAAATGGTTTGATCCGATTTTTTTCGTTCTTATAAAAAATCAAATGCAATACCTCATCTTCGTTGGCTAGGAAGACTTTGTTCTCAAACGAAATGTAACCGCATATAAATAACAACGTAAAAGTTGTCCCACTTTTGTCGAGAGAATGATCAGGTGAAGTGAATATAAAGGCACATTAAGTGGGCCTTGTTGCCACTAGAAATGTGAGTTGCAGGGTTAATTTCGAACATCGATTTGAGAACAGAGCGCGTTCCGCTTCCATGAGCGAACTTTATTTGAAGGCAACAAACCATTGTACCGTCGTTGCACTCTACTCCTCAGCCCCCTTCGCCCCTTCTCCTCCACCCCCGATCTCCACTTCCTCCTTTCCCACGCACCCCTCCGCTTTCTCTTGATCTCCACACATCCTTTGGGTGGGTAAATCGGCGACTTCCCCCGCCCCTCTTTTATTCATTCATTAAACGCCAAATGACGAGAATATGGCATCACTTTAAATTTCAACTCCCACGAATCGAAAACACCGGAGATCAGAGTTACTTTTCGCATTTTTAGTAATTAATGAATGGAAAATGTGTCCAATTCATGATGTAGGCACTCAGAGTTCGTATAAGGGGTTTCGTGTTTGCAAGACAGGCATATAGATTTACAATGTTGAAAGCAGCAACAATACGCCACCGTTTAAATTAAAAGAAAATTGTAAGATAGAATGGTGGAGAACTTAACTTAACATTTCAATAAAAAAGATCTAAAGAAAGAAAAGAAGCCAGTCTCCACCTTACCCTTCACCTGTTTCATTTCATCTAATGTTAGACTGGAAATCATCACACTTTTGTCCAGTGCAGATGTTGGGCACGTACATGTTTTTTTATTACTGCAGAAGAAGTTGGAGGGAATCGGGACAGTGTTGATGGCTGGTTTATAGGCAAATAACTCCTGAGGCTTCTGCAGTACTGCAATCAATAAGCCAACCAACTAATTTTGTGAAAGCAACAAAATAGATTTATCTGTCAGATAAAGTCCTGGCAAATACGTAAAAGGATGATGGAAGATTGGGAATATTAACTCACTTCCCACCCTCGAAATTCTCAATATCTCGTCTGTGGAGTACTTGGGTGAAGAGTTGATATTTTTCCATTTTGAGCTACATTTTCTAAAGAAGTAGTAGATTTGTCTACCAAAAGAAGTTGCAAACAATCTTTGGTCAAAGAAGGCTAGGAAGCACACAAGATGTTCTGCCTTTTGCAAAACTCATCTTGAGTAATAAAGTGGTCTGTTCTAACCGGTGAGAACTACTGAACTAACTTGGCCCAATTTATTTTCACCAAAGTCTTTCATCGACAAACAGGCAAGAACCATCAAGCTTACAGCCTACAACTGCAATTGGTTGGATAGTCCTCAATATTCGAACCCCGTTTTGTGAATCAACATACCCTCACCTTTGGATGAGCACAAAGGGACATTGATCTCATCAAATTTGATTTTGAAGACGTGCACTTTGACAACCGCATCGTTGAAACTCAACTTCACTATGTACTCCTCAAAGTGCAGTGAAGCGGGATTGGGGGTTAGAACGATATTTATTCCAGATATTCTTACACAGTCTTGAATTTCCGAATCACAACGCAATTTACGTTACTCACAGTATTGCGTTACCATTCGATACTTTAGGTTGGTTAAAGAAACGTAGCATAGCAGTCTTCCTACTAGTCTTAATTTACTTCAAACTTCGAAATCCTATGAGAGTTCTGACGCTTCCAGTTTGGTTGGTAATGCGAGTAGGATGTATTTTGTTTGAACCTATTTGTAATAGTTTAAACAGATGCTCGACATAAGAGAGTTGGGTGGGAGGGGGGGGGACTTTTAGCATTCCTTACACCTTAGATGAATAACCTTACTCATGAATTGGTGGTGTCGGACAATAGTACTGAATGGCGTCAATTTATATCCGATTCTTATCCTCATTTTAGACCCATCGCATTTGTTATAAGAAATAAGAGGTTCCATTTTAAGACGAGCCTTTATGCCAATGCATCACAAAACGAAGCCAATTGATGAGATTAGCCCCCTTAGTGGCATTAAAAATTACTCAAGCATTCTGCCACGAAGGTGCTTTGGTTGTAGTCATAAGACCGGGAATAAGACAATAAAGGTGGGCAGCCTTAGCATCTGAAGAAAATGCTTCTTCGTCGCCTCAGGAGAGCAATAAATGCTGCTGCCCCGTATGGAAAAGTCAGAAAGACGCAATCAGAGTTATGGTCGATTAGCGTCTAGAAGTCATGCTGCTACTAACCTTAAAGTCAAGGTGTGGTCCTAGAGATGACACTAGAGGGTAGAAGGTGGAATACAAGACACTGGCTTGCGCTAATATGTCCCATTGCCATAAATCAAGATCTGTTTATACAGATAAGAAAAGATCGCATTACTAACAGAGACTTAAGTAGTTCAATAGGGTGGAAACACTTTATAGCCCATAATGCAACCTATTTTAAATAATATGCATATTTATAGGGTGATACTGATTCCGAAATATCCTGTGAAACTCTCATTAGCACACTCCAAAATTTATAGACGCAATCCGTCCGACTACAAAGCCAATAGGTGCTATTTTTGACAATAAATGCAAAATTACTTGTCGATAAGCCCCAAATTTACACACAAATGATAATTCTCCGATAAAATGACTTGAATCGTTATAAGAGAAACACCATTACTAGTGACCCCTCCCGATATTTGATAAAATCGTCTTCCCGGCTAGTAGAAAAATAAAATACCGTAATTACAAAAGAGGGTAGAATTTAATCACTAATGCGCAGGAAAATACATAGAATCCACAGTACAGTTATCCAAAAATAACATCAAATAGAGGCGGAAATGAAACAAGTGAAGTTGAATTACAGTTGTTCATCACTGAATTTTCTTTGCCACTCTCTTCTTCTGATCAATAGGTTTAGAGTTCCAATAGTAGATTAACTGAGCTGAGAGGATGATATTGACAAAAGAACTGACAACAAAATTGAGAATAACCAAGCTGTCGCCAGTTTCTTGAACGGAAGTAAAGATACGAGCCAAGGACCCGGCTGTCATCAACCAAATAGAGAGAGCTGAAAGCTGACCAGTACTTCTGTTTCGATAGTTTTCAAAAATTTGCAAACCCTATGAAAAGATTTCAATTAAAAGAACAAAGACCTAAACCTACTCGAGAAATAGCAGTTATTGGAGTATTTGCAAACTGTAACCAAGCAAGAACAGAGAGTGGGATGGCTGACGAAAGAGTGTATGAAAGAAAAGCAACGTAACCGGAGAGGAAAACCAAGCCATGGACATACGACAACTCCCAGGAGATAGTCAAAAAAGCAATTATAGCCGATTGAACTAAAAGAAATACTGAATCCCCAAAAGTACTGAATGGAAATTTGAGATAGAGCGAATAGGCGCTTGTTGACGTGTAGCAAACAAGCTCAAGGATTTGTGCAATGATGCTAAGACCTTTAGCACTGCCACTTCTCCAAATTTTGACAAGTTGAGGCAATTTGACTACAAAAGTGAAGATGGCATTTCAAATATTTACCTAGTGAGGCCCCGATAACAATACCATAGCCCAAGCACTTGCTCAAGAGAATTTTAAAGCACTCAACTAATAAGGTTAGCAATTTGAAACTCGTTTACCATTAAGGAAGTCATGATCTTTCATATACGTATTAACACATCTTTCAGGAAGTAGAAAGTTTAAAATTGGCACAATCAAAGCCTCCATTTTCGACAAGATGAGAAACAAACGCCAAGGCTCCGAAGTAAACCGAAACTGAGCTAAGCTGGATACCTCACAGACCAATAAGAGAATTCCAAAACATCGAGCGCCCAATTACCTCCTACCAACAAATAAATAACCCTGTAGCAATGAAGCACATAGAAGAGGGGCTGTGGGGATTCCGCCCATTAGTTAATGAAACGTTTCCCAAAGACGTGTATGATATGACTTTCTCTCTGCCTTCTGTTCTTGTTTATTTTCAACGTTGCATTTTCACCTATGGATGCTTGGATATATAATTTGAATTTTATATTTCTAAAAAATACATTTAAATTTAATTGGACGAAATTATTAACCTATTAATGATCAACAGAGATGAGAAGCTATATTTAATTACATTTTAATGGCCTAATAAATAGTATCTTTCACGAAATTTTAAATGACTGTGTCTCTTGTTTTGAAATTGATATTAAACATTTTACTACTAGGTACAAGTGCATACAATCTTTCCACTGAGAATAAATCTTTGTATGTGACCTCAATTGCATGCATATATTGGTTAATTTGTCACAGTCAATTAATCGATGATATCGGTATATTAATGCAGAAAACATTTACAGCAGAAGCTCTGGCTTGGTTTTTTGATAGTCTCTTTGTGTTGGCAAAAATTGCTTTGTCTAGAGCTGACTGTACTGATTAATATTAGTTCAGTCACTCTCCAACATTCCTTCGCCATTATTGGCAGTAAGAGCTGGGCAACTTTACTTGAACCAATTATGCGAATGAAAGATGGAATTTCAGAACCTTTTCCTCGAATATCAACCCTTTATGCTGAACTTCGAGTTTCTTACTTCAATTATACCCCGAACAATTTCCAATGATTTGAAGTGATAAAATCAGGGAAGAAATTAATATCATCATAATTAACTAAGCGGCCATATGACCAGCAATTGCTTATTTTTAATAATATATATATTTTCAGCGTTAATAGCGTTATCTTCTTTATGAGAATTTATATAATTTATTATTCGCATCAGTCAATTATGATAAAAGACGTCCCATATTGACCAAAGTAGACTGTTCATTTGAAACTCAACAAAATTTCATGTAAAAGATCTTACATATTCAAATTTATTAAGCATTACGATTTCGATTTTCCTTGATTACTTAGTAATTAGCGCTTTTTGTTCCAATTATATTGGGTAAACAGAATAACCTTGAAGAACTCAAAGAGAATTCGACAATTATATCAATATAAATATTCATGGTAAACTTTAAGTTTATGCTTTTTCCATAAATATTTTTTGCATTTAATTACCCAAATATTTACAATTAATAAATTATAGAATAATCATTAATTGAATATAATTTATATTAATTGAACTTTTAAAGTCTTGTTTAATTATGGGATATTGTTGTCAAACGTGACCTTAAAACAAATATCCGATATTTTAAATTTCCTTTTTTACTTGACTGTGGTAGTTCTGAATAAAAATGATGAACGCCGTCAGTCATTGTTGTGTAAAGGCAAATTTTATCAAAGCAGCTAAGGTAAATTACTTTTCTGCAATGACATGAACTTTTAAATATGGTTAATCCATATTATTACCTAAATATGAATCGTTTGCCGATATTCTATTAATTTTTCGCATTATTTGGTCTTTAGCTATATTCATTGCTAAACGTTATCACAAATATTGACTGTAAAATTAATACCTCCAAATTTTCATAGTCATTGTTTTTAACGTTTTTAAAAGCTTAAATTACCTAAATATTTATTTCATATTTACAAATGGAATCCAAATTTTTACAATTTTCCCCTCTTTTATATTGTAAAATTAAGCAGTTGAATGGTCTCTCTTATTACAAGTTAGAACATTTATGAACCCAACATCTTGTAATACTTTAAACCTATAGAATTTGATGATAAATATTCATTAATGACAGACTAATGTACACTTAACTTATGTGATCCAAACATTTCTTAATTCGATTAGGATAATTGGGTTCCCTGTGAAATTCGCCTACTCACTGATGACATGGACACTTTCCTATGCATAAAATCACGTCCTCTTGGGTTCGGTCAAACGGAAGAGGATTTGAAGAGCATTTTCTCCGGTTTCTCAAGTACGGGAACTCTCTCGAGCAAAAATAACTCAATCCACCTCCCTTCAGTGACCCCAGTAGCCCGTGCTTTCACAGCCCTCTGCAATCTCTCTGAGTACAAATCATGCACTGTTGTTACCGTCGAAATTAACGAATTTGGTTACTTTGCTCTCAAATTAATACCAGCTGGCATTTTTGGAAACAAACGTCTATATCTGGCCATGTCAAGTGAAACAGAGGCTACCACATGGATGTCTATGATTAAAGCCAATTTGGGAAAACGAAAGAAAGTTAACAGAAACTCATTAACCCAATCCCGAGACTCCTTAGTGGGTACTCTACGTCCATCAGATAGTCATGACACCCTTCGTGGAGACTCGACACTTAACTCCAATAATCGTTACGAACTTGACATTGATACAATCGACAATGAGGTATATGAACCCTGTTCAGCACGTAAGTTACATTTCTAATTAATTATAGGCAATCACCAACTCATTAATTTGAGATGGACATCCCTTTAGATTAAACAAAACCTTGCAAAGTTAGTCATTCACCACGGTGTTAATTACTTCTTAGTCATATTTGTTGAGGAGAGAAAAAAGTTTATGCATTCTGTGTCATTTAATTAGGCATCAATCCTAGGCAGTGTCGAATCATTTAGGATTTAATTACAGCCTCCCCCTTACTTCAACTAAGAATGTGGACTGATGTTTTGGCATGATATTCAGAGATTACTGAAAGAAGGCTCCAACTTTTTTGTCCTGACTATTTTGCAGCTTTAGTTCCCAATTGAGTCATTGAGATGTAAATTTCATGAAGGCAGTAATTTGATCCAACTAACTAAATTGTAATCGATTTCTTTGGCAGAGGATCTTATTCCAGCAGTGATTCAACATCGTGGTGATTGGGAGAAACTTCGACTCGCAAAAATGGACTGTTTTCTGCGTCTCACAGATGATCGCTTGGAATTACTTGATCATAATGGTGAACGTGTGCTCCATTGGTTTCCCTATCTTCTCATTCGAAGGTATGTTAGTGCTTTTTTCCCATCTTTAATTTCACATTAGTAATTGGAATGCTTGCGAAGTTGTTTTTTTCTTTGAAACGTGTTCTTGGAGTGTAGTGGACTTAAATGTTTGCTTTCTCACATATTCTTATGTGATTTTAAGAGAAAGAGAGAGAGAGAGAATAAATTTATTCCTAAAAGTCACATTTCCCATCAAAACTACTTCTGGGTTTTATATATCTATGAGAAATGTCTTTGCACTTCCCTTGTAGCGTTATAGTACTTGTTACATTTATGTGTTTCAAATTCTAACACGTACTTCAAATAGATTGGCAAATACTCCTTGTAAATTCTGGTACAAACTAGCATAACTGTACGAATAACTATGAAATTATGGACAAATCGTATACAGATAAGTTCTAGTATAATGCTACTTCAATCTTTTGCCACAAAAAAACCTCATTTTTCCTTGTGAAATTAATTATCATCAACTATATGGAAGGAATGAAGGATCAGCTTTGTTGCCTTCTTTCCTGATGATTGATTTAAACGAAAGGTTTCTTTTTGCCTTGAAAAATTTTAATATGAATAGTTGGTTTGATTATCCCCAATCTGTCTGAGTTGAATTCGCTTCGGTTTTGTTAATTTTAATTAAGTTCTCGATGTTGGTGTGCCTCAACTGTGATAATCTTTTGTGCTCTTTTAAGAGTACGAAAGGAGTTAATTGTACCCAACTAACCCCCCCCCCCAACCCC